ACTCCTACAAAAAAAAAAGAAATCAACTCTTTAGTTTTAAGTTTCTCAGCCTGAGCAACATAGTAAGACCCTATCTCTCTCTCTCTCTTTCTCTTTTTTTGAAACGGAATCTCGCTCTGTTGCCCAGGTTGGAGTGTAGTGGCGCGGTCTCGGCTCACTGCAACCTCCACCTCCCGCATTCAAGCAATTCTCCTGCCTCAGCCTCCCAAGTAGCTGAGATTACAGGTGCCTGCCACTACGCCCGGCTAATTTTTTTAGTAGAGACAGGGTTTCACCGTGTTGGCCAGGCTGATCTCGAACTCCTGACCTCGTGAGACACCACGCCTGGCCATTAAGACCCTATCTCTACCAAAAAATAAAAATTAGCCAGGTGTGGTGGCACACACCTGTGGTCCTAGCTACTCGGGAGGCTGAGGCAGGAGGATTGCTTGAGCCCAGGACATTGAAACTGTAATGAGCTGTGATTGTATCACTGCACTCCAGCCTGGGCAACAGAGTGAGACTCCATCTCCAAAAAAAAAAAAAAAAATTCTTTTGCTTGTTAGAAGTGAATCTTTTACTTTTCCTCTCCTTCTGAGCCAGGAGTAGCATGTATGATATAGCCAGAGGTTTTTCTGTCAGGTATAACTATAGCTGTAGTAACTCTTTCCAGTGTTATCAATTCCATTTGAGTGTAGGGCCCGTCAGAGGAAGGTTCGTGGCATTAGGCTGCTCGATTGAAATGCTTAGCAGATTACCAGTGTTCCCTCTGTTCTCCATTTGTGGTTTGCCAGCAGGATTTCCTTTCACCTTGTCTTCCCAGATTTGCCCATAACTCCCACCTGACAGAGCACAAGGCCAGGGATAGGCCCAGAGTCCTCAGCAAATTGAACAGAATGGGCCATCTTCCTCTTCTATCCAGGGAGTAGAAACTTACTTCCCTGTTATTTATCCTAAATTTTGTTTGTCTAGTCTTAATGGTTTGTGTTCCTGATTATAGTTTGAAAGCTGCCTTAATGAAAGTATGTGTATGCCTGTTTTCTACAGTTTAAGATAAAACCTTGTTGGCCTTTGAGTCAAAATTTGAGATTTCTGAAACCCCAAATTTGTGTTTAACTGTAACTCACACAAACATATTAAAAACACTGTTTTTTTTGAAATCCAAACTTTAAAATAGGGTAAGTTTTGAAGGTAATTTTAAAACCAGGCACAGTGGCTTGCTCCTATAATCTCAGCACTTTGGGAGGCTGAAGCGGGAGGATCGCTTGAGCCCAGGAGTTCAAGACCAGCCTGGGCAACATAGCAAGAGCACATCTCTACCAAAAAAAAAAAATTAGTCAGGCATGGTGGCACACACCTTTTGTCCTAGCTACTCAGGAGGCTGAGGTGGTGAGATACCTGAGCCCAAGAGTTTGAGGCTGCAGTGAGCTATGATCACCACCGTACTCTAGCCTGGACGACATAGACAGACCCTGTCTCCAAAAACAAAAGTGATATTTTAAATAAAATATTTACTATGCCATTAAACAGCCAGTCCTTAAATTGCATAAAAAATTCAACATGATTTAAAATCACCTGTTTAGGAAAGCATCTATGGTGTAAAGATATCCATGATGATAATGAGCTGAGTATATACTTCATTCTTCAGTATAGGAAATTAAAATGTGAGTTTATCAGAATGAGTAACTTAAAGAGAAATTGCGTATCTCTTCTCCTGTCTTTTTAAATGTAAGAATCTCTAGAAATATTTTTTGTTTAAAGTAGTGGTAGAGCTGTAAAGTGATTGTTTTTTAAATAATTATTTTTAGAAGTTATATTTTTGGGTCTTTTTTTTTTTTTTTTTTTTTGAGACAGGGTCTCACTTTGTCACCCAGGCAGGAATATAGTGGCGCAATCATGGCTCACTTCAGCCTCAACCTCCTGGACTCAACAGAACCTCCTGGGCTCAACAGATCCTCCCACCTCAGCCTCCCAAGTAGCTAGGACTAGAGACATGTGCCACCATGTCCAGCTAATTTTTCTATTTCTTGTAGAAACATGGTCTCACTATGTTGATCAGGCTGGTCTCGAAGTCCTGGGCTCAAGTGATCTCCCCACCTCAGCCCCATAAAGTGCTGGGATTACAGGCATGAGCCACTGTACCTGACCAGAAGTTATATTTTTTTTAAACTCCTAAGTCCAATGAGATTATTAAATGCAGTATAGCTTATGTTAAACAAACATTACTGTCTTAGTCTGATGAGTTTTGGTCTCAAAACTCACATAAGAATAAAATTACTTAGGCTGGGCACAATGGCTTACCCCAGTAATCCCAACACTTTGGGAGGCCAAGATGGGCAGATTGCTTGAGCTCAGGAATTCGAGACCAGCCTGAGTAACATGACGAAATCCCATCTCTACAAAAAAATAACAAAAATTAGCCGGGCATGGTGGTGGGCACCTGTGGTCCCAGCCATTCGGGAGGCTGAGGTGGGAGAATCACTTGACCCTGGGGGACGGAGGTTGCACGCCACTGCACTCCAGCTTGGGTGATAGAGTGAGACCCCATCTCAAAAAATAAAAAGAATAAAACTACTTTTGTAACTGTGGAGAAATCTGTGCATCTCAGAAACTCTCCCTGATGAACTTTGAGTTACTCTGTGGTTTACATGTCTAGGAAGTCACTAGATTGGACACTTCCATTTACAGCTAGCATTCAGGGAGGTCACCTCAAGTTCCCAAGTCTCCTTTGTCTCTGCACATTAATGAGCCAAAAATCCAGTTACTACTCTAAACGAATTAATACTCACTATAAGTATTTGAAGCCAGAACATGTTCAGATTTTTCTCAGAACATTTTCATGTCTCAGTTAAGCATTGAAGTAGAAAAGGAAAAAAACAAAATTTGCTGGGTTGTTTTGTGTTTTTGTTTGTTTGTTTTCCCCTCAGAATAAGCTCTAGTGATTTTTGAACACATGGCTCGTGGGCAATGTACTGTGAATTGCTTTTACAGCTCTAATTCAGGAACAAAACATGCTATGAGATTAAAGGCTTGGAAGGATTATGTGAATTTACTTTAAACTTCATTTTGGACACTGAAGGAATTACTGTGTGAAGAAAAAAATGAGCCTTTAAGCAGTCTCTAACAAAGTGGCAAGTTACTATTAATGGTTGGTTTTATTCAGCTGTTTTTGTTTGGTTACCTGAGAAGAGAATACCAGTGCCATGGAAGTAGAAATAGACAAGAAGTTTATAGCTCCAAAGTGCTTATGATCTCTTTGGGCAGACAGAACACGCTTTTTTTTTAATCGTAATGTATGTACTTATTACAGAATATAGTCACCATCATTTGTCTACTGACAAGATTACATAGAAAAAAGAAATTAACATTAAGAAATGCTTATCTTTAAATGTTCACTTAGATATTGGAAAAAATTGGGGTGATTTACTTAACTATGCATATATATATATATATATATATATATATATATATATCCTTTTTTTTTTTTTTTTTTTTTTGAGACAGTGTCTTACTCTGTCACCCAGGCGGGAGTGCAATGGCAGGATCGTGGCTCACTGCAACCTCCGCCTCCTGAGTTCTAGTGATTCTCCTGCCTCGGCCTCCCAAGTAGCTGGGACTGCAGGCACAAACCACCACGCCCAGCTAATTTTTGTATTTTTAGTAGAGGTGTGTTTCGCCATGTTGGCCAGGCTGGTCTTGAACTCCTGACCTCAGGTGATCTGCCCACCTTGGCCTCCCAGAGTGCTGGGATTACAGGCGTGAGCCACCGCACCCAGCCCACTTCAATATTTTCATCAGTAAATTAGTACACTTTAGAGTTGTAGTGATTAAAATAATAGATATACAGCATATAAGTAGCATGCTTGGCAAACAGCAAGTGCTTACTAAGCAATGGCTACTCATAATAGTAACAGCTGATTTAATAATAGGATCTGTGAATAAGATAGTATTTTCTGCTCTACACATGAAGAAATTAATACTTGCAGAGGATAAGTAATTTGCCTAAGATTGTCCAGCTAAATAAAAAGTGGAGTCAGACTGAACCCAAGAAGTATAATTTCAGAGACCAATCCCTTAACCATAATACTATTACACTCCCTTATTATTCATTCATTTATTTCACAAAAAATTAACTGCCAGGTACTGTTTGTCACTAATAACATTATTTATATTGAAGACAGAAGAAAATATGCACAATGCAATGAAGATGGGCTTATAATGACATAGCTTTTTACTTTGACAAAGCCTAATCCAGATATTTAAGCATTTGCATAAGTAACATCTGCTTTAAAAATATAGAGTCAATGAATATTGCTTCTCCCAATAACATGAGCCAGATAATTTCAAATAAATAATGTGTTTATAAAACCTTGGATTTTTTTCACTGTATTATTCATGCATTTGGATAAGACTTGAGTGAGGATATTTCTAATTTTTTTTTTTTTAACGTATTTTTATTTTTTTGTTTTGTTTTTTTGAGACGGAGTCTCGCTCTGCCTCCCAGGCTGTAATGCAGTGGCGCGATCTCTGCTCACTGCAACCTCCATCCCAGGCTCAAGCGATTCTCCTGTCTCAGCCTCCCGAGTAGCTGGGATTACAGGCGCCCACCACCATGTCTGGCTAATTTTTGTATTTTTAGTAGAGATGGGGTTTCACCCTGTTGCCCAGGCTGGTCTTGAACTCCTGACCTCAAAGTGATCCACCCAACTCAGCCTCCCAAAGTGCTGGGACTACAGGCGTGAGCCACTGAGCCCAGCTACTTATTTTTAAAGATTTTTAAATTACCAATAAACACTGGTCATAGATTGACCCTTGTATTCTAACTACCAGAAAGCAGGCAAGTCATAAACCATTTGCTTCTTTATCCTAGTCATGAAATAACGTGTTCTGAACAGAAGCACTCACAGTTGAGTTTAAACAGCCTGTTAGTTTCATATGAGTGGGATCCTTTCAGTATGCTTGATTTTTGCTTCTGAAAGTTTCTGCCATCTCAACTTTCAGTATAAGTAGAACTGTTTTTTGAGTTTTATGAATATATATTTATTTATTTTTAAAAACCAAAGAGATTTTCTTGGTGATTATTGTCAACCAAGCTGTGACATGTTAATGATGTAGTTTAGTGTCCCTAATAAAGTCACATGAATGCTTTTCTATATTGTGGGGTTTTCCATTCAAAAGTCAACCATATGATTGCATGTGTGCTGCATTAGACTTTGTAAAGAGATTATATAATGTCTTCTTGAATGTTTTATCTAATAAAAGAAATATAATGGGGTCTGTGCTACTTCTGGCCGAAGCAAGACAGGTGAGGATGTTTTTTGTTTCTATTAAATAATTCAGTTGCTGACAGTTATCTCTTTGATGTAGAGCATAAAAAATGGGTTTAAAAATACTATAAGGAAGGAAGCAAACTATTAGTAGAATCTGGATGACCAAAAGATGTCTTTTCACAGAACTGTAAGTCAAATCTTTCTCCATAATGGACGTACAGGTTCTTATTTTTCTCAGATGGCTTACAAAAGAGTAGTATGATGTTAGTACTACTAAAAAGGAAAATCCAATAAATGTGGTTCCAATGAGACCTGCAATCTGAGAGATCATGGCTCCTAATTCCATCTGCCGATTGTAGCATAGGCTTTCTTCTCCTTCTGTAGCCTCTATGACTGAGTAGTATATAGTAACTGGAATAATTATGCCCAGTACAACTCCCCATATGTAAATGCATAGTTTTCTAGCAAAGTTGGGCTGGCGAAATTTTTTCAGTAAATGGCCATAAAATATTTTCTCATAGCACGAAGTAGTCTCTTGCAAGGAATCCTTTTGCATTAAGGTAGCGTAGCGGCTTACGGCAATCCAACTTAAAATTAAGAGGCTGACAAACATACTTACATGCATGGATAGAGTTCCCAGAAAATTGACCACTCTGCATTGAGCAGATTGATATTCCCATTGGAAACCTTTCAGGAAATAGATACTCATGAAAGGCATGGCGCTGCACACAAGTAAGTTTGCAGTCACAAGGTGTGACAGGTAGATGTGCGTTGATGTTTTTTTACCTATTTTTGTTAAAAATATCCATTGAGAGAGAGAGTTTCCAAAAACACCAACAATACAAAGGAGGATGTAAATTATTGGTAAAGCCATGGAAGAGATCATAGATGGTTGAATACATGTTGTGTTGTTGTTCATTTATGTCAGATTTTCTTGAATTTTGTCACGGGAGCTAGAACAGAATTGCAGATATTTAATATTAAAATTATTTTTGGTACAGTATTTAAGCTGAATAGGTTTGTTTTTTTTTTTAAAGCATTGAATTAAATAAAATAGTAACAAAAATGTGTTGGATGGAACGGGAAAGTGTAGATGGCTTCTTACCTTTTCCAGTCACAATTGTCCGGTTGAAATAAAGACAAAAAGTTACTTATTGTGATGGATAATGCCTTTGTCTAAAAAACAAAATTTGATGTAAATAGTTACATGCCTGGGATTTATAATTTTACTTAGAGAAATGGATAGTTCTTAGATTGTAAAACAATTTGTAAGTGATGATTGATTTTGCCTAGAAATATAATTTAAAAATTTTTAAGGCACATGAAACCAATACATGTTGGCCAAAGTATTACAGAAGTATTTTGTGGCCACAATAATAGAGAATTGACTGGTTTTTAATTACCACATTACTTATATATAGTTTTCAAAATGGTGTCTTTTTGTGTCTAGGCTAAAACACTCCTTTATAACCTAATACTATTAGAAGAGTCTCTTTTCATATTTCAGAAGTTGCCTCAATTCCACGTGAGCAAAATTTCAGGCAAAATCCTGAACTGAATAGAAGAAAAGTGTAGCAACCAAGGACAGACTCCAAAATCCCAGGGTCATTACCAAAGAATATTTAAAATGTCATTTCAAATATTCAATGTTAAACTGTCATACTTCAATAAAAGTTTACACATGTATGTCAAAACTGTAGTTACAGCCAGATGTGGTGGCTCTGCACCTGTAATGTCAGCACTCTGGGAAGCCAATGTGGGACGATTGCTTGAGACCAGGATTTCAAGAACACCCTGCGCAATGTAGCGAGACCCTGTCTCTATAAAAAAATATAAAAACTAGACTGAGTATGGTGGCTCATGCCTATTATCCCAGCACTTTGGGAGGCCACGGCCAGCCTGGGCAACATGGTGAAACCATGTCTCTACAAAAAATTAGCCACGCATCCTGACATGTGCCTGGAGTCCCAGCTACTTGGGAGGCTGAGGTTGGAGGATCAGTTGAGCCTAGAAGTTCAAGGCTGCAGCAAGCTATGATCATTCTACTGCACTCCAGCCTAGGTAACAGAAAGAGACCCTGTCTCAAAAACAAAAACAAAAAAACTGTAGCTGCTATGCTTGTTGGTTAGAGTATCCTTGTGTGTAAATTGGTATCTGAGTTTTTCAGAGGATTTTTTTTTTAAAGGATATGATGTTTTAATCACAACATAAATGCTGGTTTTTACTTTTTTGTGTCTTATATTTAAATCTTTCTCACTTCAAAGGGTACATGTGAAGTGCTGAAGAATCATATACAAATTTCTTTTATTCTTATTTTTCTCCTTATTTCCTCACTTCTTTCAGGTGAGAATAACAAAAGTTACTGGATTCTGGTCAAATAAGAACCATGATCTCTATTCAGAATGTGCCATATTCTCTGTGTCCTTTACCATAGCCTTCTGGGCACCACATTCTCCACTCTTTCATGATCTAGAGCAAGGTTTCTCCATCTTTTTTTTAATCATGTTCTCTTTTGATAAACATAAAAATTGTACCATACACAGCCCTTGGAAATTCTTATATCCCCCCAGCCCCTCAGGGCAATTTTACTCTCTACCCCCTTCAGAATTATGGTTTGATTTATTTTCTGTATCTTGGATTACAGAATTTGGGTTTTTTCCTCAAAATAATATTATAATTTTGTAATAACTTTTTAAACCAATCCACACCCAAAGTCTTGAAAACTTGAGGACTGTGCATTGTGTGTGGGTTTAAATACTGAGATTCTTAATTAATGTCTACCAGTGTCTTTATAATTTTGTTTCTTTGCTATTTGTATTTAGAAAACAGTCCATATGCTTCATTGTAAGTTTGTATCTGAATCTAGTGCAACCTGATGAATTATAATCTGGTTGCAGTTAGTGTAGACCCTGGCATAAATATATAAAACCTAATCTGTAACTTCACCAGTTCAAAAATCAGGCAGATGGAGTGTGAAATGAGCCGGTTTATTTAAGAAAAAAAATTATCTGCTCACAGTAGATTTTGATTTTACATAAGGAATGGAGCTTCCTTTTATGATGCTGTTAAAGAAAAGCATTAGCTCCTGCCTTGTGCAGATAATGCATAGTATACTAAAAACTGCAAAGGTAATGGTGCTTCTGTATGAATAGTAAATGCTTCCAAACAAAAAGGAGATAAAATATACTTCTGCAGAGGCTAGCTTTATCAGACAGAAGTTGAGTCTCTATAGGACTCTCACTATAGCAATCAACAACTAGGTTACCATCTTTACCTTCCCAAACTTGTATCTACTATGTACATCTCCTTCAAAAATAAACTTTGATCATAAAACTACTTGATAACTATTTTCCAAAATTTGGAAAGTACTGTTGAACTTAAGAAATGAAATAAAAATTACATGTTACAGATGCAAAACTGGTCTTTAGAAAATGTCTGTAAGTCTATATTCCTCTCAGGAGAATGTCTATCTCAAGTCACTCGTGCATATATTTTGTCTCTGCTAATTTGACAAATGAAAAAAGTTCTACAACTCTTAACTTCAGTTACTAATGACTATCTACATAATTATATGCTGACTGCCTTTCTTAAGGATCAGCTTTCAAAATTTAAACCATTAGGTCCTGTTTATTTTTATAGAGTTTAATTTTTAAGCTAAAAATGAATAATAATCACTCTTACCTGTATGAGTAGTTTATGCCAACTAAGGTTATATTGTTCAGGGCAGTGATGCCAAATTTCAGACTTAAAATTCTCTGATCTTCGCTCTTCCAATATCTTTAGTCAGTGTAAATAGACTCTTGTATGACACCAACTACAGTGGGAGGAAAAGGGGAAATTAAACAGAGTATTGAAGAAATTCAATAGTTATGGTCAATGTGGTAACTACCTCCTCAAAAAACCCTCATTTCTCTATTTCTGTAGCGGGAGGAAGTTGGTGGACAATATACATATTATACTTCCTTATGATTATTTCATGAACTAGTTACACCCCAGTAAGCTTTGTTTGCACGATTGACTGAAGTTCACAGATTTAATCCCCCATGGCTAGTTTTATATGACACAGCGATAGAAGGAGCCACTCTGTTAGTAACCCAATACAAATATTGGTACAAATTTGTCTGTAAAATTGTTTGTGGATGGCTTATTTGCAATCCATCTTTATCAAAAATAGAAACAAAACTCAAAGTTTTCTTATAACTTACTAGAATCAAATATTATAGAGATAAAATAGAACTTCATGATCATCTATGGATTGAGACCCTTTGTTTTAAAGTTGAAGAAGCTGAGGCCCAGAAGAACTCACTGTAAGCACAGACTGCACCCAGGGTTGGGTCCCAGTTTGGTTACTAATGAGTTAACCCACTCTGTTTCTGATTGCCCTGCACTACCTCCATTTATCAACATAATACACTGTTTGGGGCATTTCATAATAGATTTGGCAAATCCTGGGAGTGCCAAGTATGCCTCAGATCAAATGAATAGTTATATTAATAAAGAATTGTGAAACCATGACTAGTCTAAAACAATAAAAATTTTAAAAATAGAATTGTGAAACCAATTTTTTGTACAAGATTGTCGAATCAGCCTGTGACCTACTAACTGAATGAAAGCTAAGTGTGTACATCTGGGGCGGAAGACTTGCATCAAGCACTCCCTCTCATCCTTGAGTAGTTAAACCAGTGGGAGTCTGAAAAAGAGAACAGAAATCTAATTTCATCAAACTTGAGCACTTTAGTTTTGGTAAATCTTCACTTAAAATTAACAGAGGTACCTTGCCATTTCTCATAAACCCCTGATGCTTACCTTATTTCATTTTTATTTCATAAATTCTCTCTGATGTTTGCTAATATTTCTCTCTAAAACAAAAGTGAGAACTGCCTAAAGTGTCCGGATTGTGTTCTGCTGCTGTTCATCTTTGCCTTGCCACCATTTACTTAAGAACAGTGACTCATCCAGGGTTTCATGGCCATTCATTACAGAGTAATTTGGCTTTTAGAATTCTTATCACTTTTACTTCAGTAATGTATCATGTTCTGGGAAGGAATTACATAGAACAAAAAACAGTTTTAAGTAATTTAGAGAAGAACAGAAATGGAATGCTGTTTCTAAGTGATTGAAAAATAGTTGTAATATTATCTGTTCAGGCATAATCATCTTTGGTCCGAAGAAAGAACACTCTTGTGTTCCTCCATTGTCTCCAAACTCAGTAAATGATACCATCACTCCTTCAGTTATTCAAGCCAAAAACTTAGGAATCATCCTTAATTTCTCTTTCTTTCACATCTCACATCTATCTAATCAATTGCTGGTACTACAGCTTCTACTATCACTACCATCATTCATTAGCCACATTTCATGAGAGCTTACTATGTGCCAGATATCTTGCTATGTGCCTTACATTCAAGTCTTATTTGGTTTTCACAACACCCTGTGAAATGTCTCATTTTAAAGGTGAGGAAAACTGAAACTCAGAAAGATCTCATAAGTTGCCCAAGGTCACATAGCCATCTGTCCTCACAGGATGGTGATTGGCTCACCTCAAAGCAAGTAATTCAAGAACAAGTCCATAGCTGCAATGCCTTTTTGTGATCTAGCCTCTGAAGCCAACACTGTCATTTCTACAGTATTCTATTGGTCACACAGAGCCAGCCCTGGATCAGTGTGGGAGGGGTAAATATCAGGAGGTGAGGATCACTGGGAGCCATATTGGAAACTGGCTACCACAGATGTCAATCAACCATTGAAACAAAGAAAGAGTCAGAAGTACTGCTTAAAAACCGTTATCAGTCCACTGGTTGTTTATTGGGCAAGCATACCTGGATAGGTGTAAGTTTTGCCAGTTCTTACACTATTTTGGTTTTTAGGTCTATTTTTGTTAAACAGTGTAATTCATTCAACAAATATTTATTGGAGTTTCTACTATGTTCCTAGCAGCATGTGGAGG